GGTTTGAGGGGGGGAGGGGTGTCAGCATGACGGTGAAGGACTGCTGCAATGAGGATTGGGTGCGCGAGTCACCCCCCACCCCCTTTCCCAGAAGCAGACGAGCCAGTTTCTTTTGTTACGCACGACCGTGCGGTCGGGATCTCACACGCCCCATTTCTTATCACCTCTTTCGCCCCTTCTCCGCCGGGCCCCCGCGGCTGGCCCCCGCCGACCACAGCACGCCCCACCCCCCTGGTCGTCATCTCCGGCCACCATCGTCACCTGCACACGATCATGCAGTTGTCGTTCAGGTCACGCATGACCTCCAGCTCAAACTCCTTCCAGCCAATGAGGCTCTTCTCAACCAGGACCTGACGGGTTAGGTTGGGTCGGGGGGCGCTGGGTTGAGTGCGGGTGCACGTGAGGACATGTGAGACGCGCTGCTGTGGTGGGTCAAGGGGACGGGGAGAGTCATGCGGCCCGCTTACAGGGTACGCCGCAGGCCCCACGTCCGGCGCGCGGGATTTAGGCTCCAGCTGGCACCAGGGCCGGCCGAGTGCCGCCGCGCACTGTCAACAGGTTCTGGTCGTCTCCCGCTCGGCCCCCCCCCAAAAGCCTCCTGAGGATCAAGGCGTCCACCTGGTCAGTCATGGAGGCGTCGATGCCGGCCTCGACCTGGGCCTTGAACTCCTCCAGGTTGTACGAGATCCCGCCACCTGGGGGTGGAACAAACACAAGCGCGCGTGAGCGATGTGAATGTGTATTCAAAGGGAATGGCAGGCGTTGGGGTGACCAGAGGCGGTTCCGCCAACCGCTCGTCGCGAGCCTGAGGCTCATCAGACACTCGGCTAGGGGGCAGCCGGCGCCGCCGACGGCAGCCGGCGCCGCCGACGGGGCCGCAGGATCCCTTCGCGGCCCGCGCGCCGCGGCACGCAGCGCGCCGCGAGCTGCTCGAGCGCAGCGGCGGAATCGGGGCCCGCGAGTGCGCGGCCCCGCGGCCGGCGCAGGGCTGCGCGCGCGCACCGGTGCCGCCCAGGGTGAACGCTGGGCGGATGATGAGGGGGAAGGAGCCTATCTCGGCCGCGATCGCCAGCGCCTCATCCATGTTGCTGGCCGTGCCGCTGGGGGGCACCTGCGGGGCGCACGTCGATGAGGAAGGGGTGAGGACGAGGCTCCGGCCTGGGCGAATGCAGCCACGCCTGCAGGCGTCGAGGAGCGAGTCATCACATACCCACCGCTGCGCCTGGCCGCGCCCTGGCGGCAGCAGCGCGCATCACCCAGGACCCCCCCGCCCGTGCCAGCCCCCGCAGCAGCTGCTGAGGCTCTTCGTCACGCCGGCGCCCCTCCACTTCTGCCGCCGCCGCGGCCGCCACTGTCTACCCAAAGGGCAGTTTTCCTCATCTGCCCGTCCCCCCCTCTGCCAAGCACCCCGGCTAAGGCACGCTTCCGTGAGTCCCCCGGTCCACACCCAGGCCGAATCGCAGCGCGGCCCCTCCAGCACCCTCGCGGGCACGCCCCCGTCCAGCGCGCGGTGGCATGAGTTGCAGGGGCGGGTGGGCGCGTGTGTGGGCGCCCTCACCTTGAGGCCGATGCGGAACATGGCCTGCTTAAACAGCTCCCTGTCCTCTGCGCGGTCGATGGAGGGCAGCTTGGCCCCGATGAGCTCCACGCCGTACTTGTCAAGCAGGCCGCTCTGCGTGGTTTCCGCGACGCAAACGACGACGATTTCAAAGGGAGAGCGCGGGGCGCGGCGGGGCGTGGCCCCCGCGGGCCGACCCTGGCGGGCAGGCGGGCGGGCTCTGACGGCGGGGGGCCTCCCGGCTCCGGCCTCGCAGGCGGGCGCAGGGAAAGGCGCTGCTCGACCACCCTCCCCTCCTGCACACTTCCAAGGGTACGCGGCTGTCTGGAGGATGGGTGCGCCCGAGATCCCTCCAACCGCACCTCTGCGAGATTCTTGGCCAGGTTCAGGCCGGTCTGGCCGCCCATGGTGGGCAGGATCGCGTCGGGCCGCTCCTGCGGGGGGCGCCGGCCGCGCGGCGGGCGCGGCACGGGCGCTCGGTGTGGTCGCCGCGGCTGCCGCGTGGCCGTGGGGTCTGACGCTGCGTTCTGCTGAGCGCGGTGGTCCGCCCTGCAGGCGCCTCCTGCTTTACCACTCTCTTTTTGCGGCCGCAGGAGGCACTCAGCAGGCTCCACATCACGCGCGAGCCCCAGGCCTCAGACTGTCGGCTCCTCCTGCCAAATCCGCACGTTTCAGAGCAGGCCCCACCCAGCACATGCCGTGCTCCCCTGACACCACCCGTCCCCGGCCGGCGGCGGCCTGACCGGCTCGTCGCCTGTTGGTCGTCGTCCACGTCCACGTCAGCCTCATGACTCACCTTGTCCAGGATCTGCTCCACCAGCTCTGGGGTCATCGGGCCGATGTAGGTGCGGTCCGCCATGCCGGGATCAGTCATGATGGTCGCCTGGCGCGCGGCGGCGGTGCGTTGCATAAGAGTGGCCGTCTGAGAAGCGACCGACGCTGGGCAGCAAACCTTCCCAGCAATAGCACTTGCACCGCCGAGTGGCGCTTCGGGTTACAACTGCGGCGAGCCCGCGCCGGCGGCCTCCGCCCGACATGGGTCGGAGAGGCGCCCGTGCGCGGCCGCGGGCGTGCTGTCTCGCTGTCAGCGGCTGCGGGGCTGCCGGGTGGCGGGCGGCGGCCGCTGCACGCCGGCGACCCGCGGTCGCACGCCCTGCTGCAGCGCCGGCCGCCAGGCGGATCCAAGTACACCCGCACGGGCGTGTATGCGGGCCGCCTTCTCCGCCTGCACCCGCATGCCGCAGCCCGCCGGGTGCGCCGCGGCCTCCCAGCCGCACGCGCGGCAGCCGAGCCGCGCGCGGGCGTCCCGACGGCGCCTGATCTGACCTGACCTGTTACCCACCGGGTTCGAGTTTAGCAGGACGACCTCGTAGCCCTCCTGGCGCAGGGACTTGCACGCCTGCGTGCCTGAGTAGTCAAACTCGCACGCCTGGGGGTGGCGCACGCGGAGGGCCGCGGGCGGCGGTTACCAACCACTCTGGCAGGCAGAGGCGCTGGCGCAGGGCCGCTGTTGTGGCAAGGCGCTTGCGGCAGCGACCAGGAGGGTCGAAAAACAGCCTGGGCATGTTACAAGTGCCCCCAGGAGGCGTGAGCCGCATCTCTGATGGTCCACCCATGGCCGTTGGCATGCGATGTCAAAAGGGGGGGCGTCGGTGCCCCGGCTGCTCACTTGGCCGATCACGATAGGGCCGGCGCCAATGATCATGATCTTCTTGAGGTCCTTGCGCTTCTTGACCTGGAATTTGGTGCACAATGTGCCATGTTTTTGGGCACGGAGCGCTTGCGGCATGCGACAGCCGGGGCTGGTGTGTCCGCTTGCCAGGGCATGCGAGGTTTGTTGGGGGCTGTCCGCGTGCGTGGGCAGTTCAGAAGCCTGACGCCCAGAAAATCGCTGCGTACCTCGCTCATGGCCGCCTGCCAGGGCAGGACACCATTGCCAGAGTCGGCGCGGACCTGCAGCTGCGTTGGTGGGAGCATGGGGCGGCGGCCCCCCAATGCAGGCGGCTGAGGGCTGCGGCAGGCGGCTGAAGGCGGTCAGGGCAATGGCAAGCGGTCTTGAGCCCTACATAGGAGTTTTACACACTAGTGTACCAGTGTGCGACCTCCGCGTGGAGCGTCAGGCACGGTTTCAAGCCCACGCACCTGCGATGATCTAGTCCGGCGAGCCCCCTGCGGGGCCCTCAGACGCGCCACCTGCGGCCTCACGCCAAAGCACTGCAGGTTAAAAGGGGTGACCACGCCCCTCTTAGGGGCGATGAGTCGGCCCTGCATGCCTTTTGCTGCCAGGCCCTGCATTTCAGTAGGGTTGTTCACAGCAGCGTGTAACGCCGCTATATAGTTTCGACCGAGAAACGGAGGAAGAATGGGTTAAACTGCAAGCTTGGCTGGGTGGAAGAACGCGCATGTGCTCGGACAAAGAAGACGCCGGGGTCACGTGAGTGCGCCGCCACTATCCTGCGTCGTAGATAATACTACAGTATGTTACAAAACGTGTGTTTTACAAATGGGCCCTCTTCGCTGCCAGAAGCTCGATCTTTCAGCTCTTGCTACAACGCACGGGCCGGCGGCCAGCAGGCCTCCGGCGCTGTACACAGTGAAACCAAAGTACATACCGAGTACTGAAGAGACATACGGTGTGGCCTGTGACTGCAGGACCATGCACTGCGACCGTTGACGCTGGGCAGCAGTCCACGCAGCGCATCGCTGCAGCAACCAGTGGGCCGCGCCTGTAGATGGGTCACACGTGCCCGCTTCCTGCTCTGAGCGGGACATTAAACGTGCGGTTCTGTTGTGTCTGGTGCTAGCCCTCGTCCCATCACGCCGTCCCACTTCCTGCATCAGCTGCAGCACCAGCATCAGCCAGCCTCCCCACGCACTGAGCCGTGCACGCATGGGTGTTTGGCTGCTTTTCGTGGCAGGGCGCCCAGTGTCCACATACCCTAAGCCGCTGTCCCACTGGTTGGCTCCCAGCTGCGGCGGCCGCAGCCCCTGCACGCATGCTCGAGATCAGCGCGCGGGGACCGCCCATGCCCTGAAGATTTCTCCACGCTTTTATGCCTGGAGGCGAAGAGCTGATCGCGTGAACCAGCGGCCATTGCGACAGCCTCAGGTCCGAGATGTCTCACACTCTAGCAACCGCAAAGTCCCCTTGGCGCGCCAAGTGGGGCGCGGCCCCCCGCGGTGCTCGTGCAATGCATGTGGGATCTGAGTGTCTGCTATGTGCTTTGAATACCCTGCACGCCCTCCCTCATGGCGGCAGTCATTTCAGCGCTCCCCAACTTGCTAAGCCTGCCTGCAACTGAGCGCGTCCCAGCAACGTAATACTGCAATCTCGATCCCCCATCCCTAAATTCTACCAGCATACACATGGCATTCGACAGATATCAATACTTCAAGTCAGCATGCGCATCTTGATCGTGCTCCTCACCCCACCCCTTGCCGGTGCGCGACCCCGCCCCAGCCCTCGGTCTCCCCTGTGTACACGGCATGCACCAGCGGTGCGGTCTGCTCAACCCTGTGGCACGACAGCCGGACGACGAGGAAACTTACTCAGCTGCGAAGGCTGTACTGTCGAACTGGTTGCGCAAAATAGTCACAATTCGGGACTGCCCTTACCAGCAGAAATGCTGCCCCCGCTTTGATGCTGCTCAACGCTGAGCTCTGCCGCGGCTGCCATGCCATCGAAGACACCCGCGGGTGTCAACAATCCGACCTGAAGTACAGCGGTACTTGTCACTTTTCGAGGCGAGCGCGTGCCCGATGACCCCTCGAGGGCGGTCTGCACTCACCCGTTAGAAGAGTCGCACCAGACTCGGTACGCGCCAGCAAGTCTATGCGGAGGCAGGCCCGTGTCAGAGAGCGTCAACTCGTGGATCGAGCGAGCACAGCCATGGGACTGCCTCACCACAGTGTGAGCCAATTTTCATGTGTGCGCCGGTTGTCGCCTGGCGTGCCGCTGTCCGCTACCCCCTCTGCCAATATATGTGTGTTTGACCAACACCGCTGCCTTTCAGCAGGGCTGCTTTGTGATCGTGTTTGTGAGCCAAGCCGCCGCCACCCTGCAATCATGCGATGCCGTCACCCGTGAGATGCTGTGTCATAAAGCGGCTGACCCAGCAGAGGTGAACATGGCAAACGTTGGGCATCCCGTAACTGTGTATGCTTGCGTTTCTTGCTACGGTAATTTTCTGTTCATCTGAGAGCAGCGCGTTGCGTATCGCGCAAAACTGTCAGAGCATACAAACCCCACGGTGATCACACCGCCTCATATCGTGCCGTTTGAGGAGTCGACGTTACACATTGTCTGGACGCAGCAGGTGCTGGCCGAGCAAAGGCGGAGCGCGGCGCGGCTGTCAAGATGTCGGGGGGCGAGGCAGCGGCGGGCCCGCCGCCCAGCGACGCAATCCTCTTTGCGCTCGTGTGCTTTGCGATTGGCATCTTTATCAAGATGTGCCTGAAGTGGACGCGCATTCCTTACACGGCCATGCTGCTGGTGAGCGTCGAGGCGGAGGTGCCTGCGGAAGCATGGGCTTGCCGGCGGCCGCAGCGCAGGATCCTCAAGCCGCACTGCACCGCAGGCGGTGCTCAAACGCCTGCAATCATCAGAGAGATGCGCGAACCGCAGACCATCGCATCTGGGACCCACCCTTCCCAGCCCAAGGGCCCGACAGAGGCAGCAGAGCCAGAGCCGCGGCGCGGCCCCTCCGAAACGCCGCCCAGTGACGTGCCGCACCCCGGCCCACCCCGCGCCCCTCCA